GAGCACTGCTCCCCTGGGGCTGGGTCACTGGAAGCCTCCCACAGGATGGACTCCGTGAATGCTAACTGGATGCCCTCGCACATGCTGGGGCTACAGCAGCCCCAGTCTGGGCTCAACTCCTGCCTCTGCCCGCTGGGAACCTCCCTGCCTTAGGTGCTCACATGTACCTGCCGTGTACCAGACACTGTGCTGAGCACCCTGTGCACATGAGCTCACTCTGTCTTCTCAAAGTTCTTTGCAAAGTTGCCCCTTAATAGCTGAGGGAAACTGAGGTACAGAACAGACAGCTGCCCTGTGTGAAGTCACACTGCCATGCAACCCTCAGGTGAGACTGGTGGTGATAAGACCTTGCTGGAATGGTGCATTCTGGGGGTTCAGTAAGAGTGAGCAGACACGTAATAGTAAGTCAAGCTTTCCTTGACCAAGCCAAGGCTGACCCCTTGTGGCAACTGGCGTCATTGCACCAAGAACTGGCCCTCGGAGGTCCCCCGCACCCCTTGCCTCCAGCCAGGCCCACCTTGGCCCACTGGGGGCTAGTCATTCTGTGCTACGGCTGCTGTTCCCCTACCAGCAGTGTGGAACAAGCCCACATTTCCTCTTCCTCCAGGTGGCTCACTCAGAAAGGCGCCCGGCAGAAGAAAATCAACGAGTGGTTGGGGATCAAAAATGAGACTGAGGAGTAAGTGAACCCCTACCTGAGGGGGGCCAGGGAAGGCTTCCCAGAGGAGGGGCCATTTTCAGGTGGTTTTGCAGAATGAGTAGGAGTTCACCATGAGCGCTGTCCAGGCGGCAGGGAAGTCTCAGAGGCTTGGGGGTGAGTGACCAGGTCCTCTCCCTGCCTCCCCCACAGCCAGTATGCGCTGATGGAGGATGAGGACGACCTGCCCCACCATGAGGAACGCACGTGGTATGTGGGCAAGATCAACCGGACACAAGCCGAGGAAATGCTGAGCGGCAAGCGGGATGGCACCTTCCTCATCCGCGAGAGCAGCCAGCGTGGCTGCTACGCCTGCTCCGTGGTGTGAGTGCCTGGTGGGGGCTCCAGGAGTCAGCTGAGGGGTGGGGGATCTGCATCTCTGGGAAGATCTGCCGGGAAGGAGTCATGACCCCCATGGCTGCCAGAGGCAGAAGGGATTGTTGGGGGACAAGGGAGGAAGCTAGGGCCGCGTTTGGGCAGGAGGTGGTGGCATCTGGGCCAGGTTAGGGTCGTGGGCAGAGGTCACCGGAAAGAAACGGCAGGAACTCAGGGGAACCCTGCTGGAGCGCCCCCCACCCCGTGACCGCCCGCCCCTCTGCGCGTGCCTGCAGGGTGGACGGCGACACCAAGCACTGCGTCATCTACCGCACGGCCACAGGCTTCGGCTTCGCGGAGCCCTACAACCTGTACGGGTCGCTAAAGGAGCTGGTGCTGCACTACCAGCACGCCTCACTCGTGCAGCACAACGACGCGCTCACAGTCACGCTCGCCCACCCGGTGCGCGCCCCAGGCCCTGGGCCCCCGCCCCCTGCCCGCTGAGCGCTGGGCGCAGGACAGCGCAGAGCGGATACACCCCAGGGCCTGGAGGCTGGGGAGGCAAACCACCGCCCCCCCCCCGCGACCGAGGGCTCCGTCTTTCGGGTTTTCTGTCTGCCTCTCTCTTTTGTGAGTCTCTTTCTGTCTCTTTCTCTCCATTTCTTTCTTTCTGAGCCTCTCTCTCAGTCTCTCCCTGTCTCTTTCCCTCCCCATCCAACTGTCCTTCTCTCTGTCCCTCCATGTCTCTGGGTTGGGACTCCTGCCTCCCCTGCCCCATATGCCCCTCTCCTGTAGGCACTGCCCTCTGGCCATCCTGAACCCTGTGCCCTGCCCACCAGAGGCTCCCCCCTCCCCAGGGTCCCCAAAGACCCACCTGGCTGCACCTGCCATGTTTACAGAGGCCCCTGGGCTGTGCGGCCTCAGCCTGGGTGCCCCAATTTTTAAGCCATAGACCTGGAGTCACGGCAGGAAGGAACTTTACTTGGCCAAGTCCAAGAACCACCTTGGCCGGGACATTCTGGGCCGGGCGGGACCCGCCCCACAGACCCCAACTTCCCCTCCAAACCCTGAAGTGAAACCACCACTTGGTCGTCCCCACATAGGGGCCACTGCCAAGAAGTACCCCCCAAAAAAGAAAAGAATTAAAAATAAACGGACGAGCCAGCCCCACCCGGCAGCAGGCCTCCCAGAAGTAGAGGTGGCCTGGCCGCACCGCTGCCCATGGCACTTCTACCCCGTGCAGAGTCAAGGCTTCTCCTCGATCACCTGGGTTCTGGTTTTATTTCTTCTTGACTGTAAAGCCCTTTTTTCTCTCCTCTTTTGGGACGAGAGCCCTGGTTTTCTACACTGCCCGTGCACCCCCCCCCCCCGCCTGCCCAGCTAGGCTGGTGGGCCGGTTTTGTATGGTACGTTGATACTGATACAGATATAAAACACAGAACATGTGGATGCTTCTATTGGTGGGGGGGGGGCTTCTCTATGGCCACGGTGTGCTGGGGACCCCGGCGTTCCCAGGGTCACACACACATCTAGCCCCTGGGTTTATAATTCCAGGGAGCCAAGGAAGGCTGACGACCCTCCCCGAGCACCACCCAGTTTAGCTGCTTGTGACCAGAGAAGGTGAGACTTGCCCAACCAAGGTCACACAGCAAAGAGGTTCAAACCCTGAGCTCTGCTCTACAGTACGGCCTGCTCAAGGCACCCCAGACATCAGACACCAGCCTTTCACCAGTACCCGGGCTGCCCCCCACCCTGGCCCCAGCCCCCCAGGCTGGAGTCCCAGCACTCAGACACCACCAGCCAGGCCCTTAGGAAAGTCCCCTCCCCTCTGATATGCAGCTGCATCATGGGTCGGGTGGAGGCAAGAGCACAACCCCTCCCCCGGCACCCAGAGAGGCCCCCCCATGTCCTTAAGGCCCTCAGTGCCACCCCTCCCTGCCGACTCTCTTCTGACCTCCTCCCCATACCTGTCCCTGACGTGCAGGCCGCCAGGTCCCAGGGGGACATTGACTTGGGGCCTCATGGCGTCTTTGACCTGGAACATTCGTTACCCTCCCCTCCCCAGAGTCCCTGTGTCTTGACCCTTCTGTTCTTAGAAGACTAAACCTGCCTCCTCCTCTCCCCATACGGCACCTATCAGGGCCCAGCATGCCCACGGCAGCCGGAGGTGAACGAACAAAGCTGCCCTCTAATCTTTACTCCTCTGCTAGGATCTCAGAAGGACAGGAGCTGGCCCCCTCGCCCCCGGCCTCAGAGACAGTGGGCCTTCCCAAGTGCTGTCCCTGTTGTGTGCCCAAGTCAGGAGCTACCCCATGAGGAACCCCAGCCTGGATGCTATCTCCCCTGTGGTCTTCACCCACCGCAAGGGTGGCACAGGGTAAAGGCCACTTTCTAGATCCCATGACCCCAGTCGGTGGAGCTTGGAGACAGAAGATAACAACAGCCCACGTGGCCTCACATGGCCTCTACAGGTGTCCGTCCTCCACCACCGGCCTGGGCATGTCACCTCGGGGAAAGTCACCCCCCACCTCTGATCCTCAAACTCCTCTTATCAAATAGGGTCAATATTTGCTTCCCCCACCCCCCAAGGGGAAGTTGCTCAAGGATTGAGGATCGGACAATCCAATGAGTGAGGTTACCTTTGTGAAGCCATCCATCAGGGCCATGCTTAGTGAGCCCTGGGAAAACTAGCTGCTTCTGTCCCGCCCAGCAACGGGGCAAGCATGGGCTAACTGCTGTTGGGCTGCTTAGTCCTAGACGCATCACAGAGAACCTGGGGTTTGCAAAGGAGGGCAGGACCCTCCGGCCCTGGGGACTTAAGAGAAACCCCAGTCTGGGGCTGCTGCTCTGGACAGCAGGCTGGGGCTTCCCCCAAACCGGAAGAAGACAGGAGCTGGGGACTTGCCTATAATCTGGGCCAGGCGTGGGTGTTTCCTCCCGTGGGATCAGGTGCCGGGTAATGCCTGGCATTTGAGGCCCTGCAAATTCTGAACATCTGGGTTATTCCCTCACCACCCCAGCCTCCACGCCTAGGCCCTTATCTGCCTGCCTTCCCCTGGGCTGTCAACACCTCTCCACTGGCTTCCCCCACCCCCACCCCAGCCTGGGGCAACTCTACTTCTGCCTCCCAGCCTTCCCTGTAACTGCACTCCCCAAGCTTCACTCTTGTGCCCACGGACAGAAGGCGAAGCTGAGGGTCCAGTACTTGAGGTGCCTGGTGCAATCCCGAGACAAACCTGGTGGTGACTCCAGGAGGTCTGGGTCCCACATCACCAACCCCCTCCCCCAGTCTACCTGACATGCACAGTATAGGCTTCGTCCCAACCTGGGCTTCCCTCTCCCGTGGGAGTTCCCTGCGGGCCTGCATGCCCCCCACCCCACCCCACCCCAACGACCACATCGAGCTCTGGATGCTGGAAAGCAGCAGCCCGGCTTTCCTTTTACCCCCCACCCCCACCCCTGACAGGGCTGGGAGGACCAAGAGAAGTGAGGCGCCCTCCCCGCGCTGGCTTCTGCTTTCTGGCCTAGCAGTGACGACGCCTGAGTCAGCCCCCCGCGATCACGCTTGGTGGGACTGGAGCGTCGGGGCGGAGGACCCTGAGAGGAGCACCGGGCGCCCGGGGCAGCTCCGATGGGTTAAGGAGGAGGGAGTGGGTGAGGGCCGGGTCGCCGCAGTCCCTGCCCACTATCGGGCAAGGGATCAGCCGCCGTAAGGGGGCGGGGTAGGGAGGCGAGGTTCCCAGGCTAGGAACCGAGGGCTTGGATCACCCCGGCCGCCCCCAGATCGATCCGCGGGGCGTGCGCACGTGGAGACCCGTCTCAGTCTGCCTGCCTGTGTCTCCCTGTCTCTGAAGCCGCCACCTAATCTCTGCTCTTGCCCCAGCCTCACATGACCTGGCGGCCCTGACGGCCCGGAGGGGGCGGGCGGGGCAGGGGGAGGAGGGCGGCCCCGCGGCCCGGTGACTGCGGGCCCCTCACCTGGCGGGAGTGCGGATGGGGGCCAGGTTGGAAGAGGACCCAGACCTGCCAGTAGACACCGAGATAGCCCGCCCCCAGCCCCCAGGGGCGTGGGCACCGGGAGGCGGGTCCGACCCAGGGGCTGGGCCACCGCCGGGTTAAAGGCGGCTCCTTCTCGGGCCGCTGCTCCCGCCTCCGCACCCTGGCCCGGCTGTGATGGCCTCGTCGCCACTCCTGCCGGTCCTGCCGCCCCTATTCTTGCTGCTGCTGCTGCTACTGCCGCCGGAGGTCCCCGCGGCGGCGCGGGCGTCTCCGCTGGGAACACTCCCCGAGGGGGCGGCCGCCTGCAAGGTAGGGACGGCAACGCGGTGGGAGGGACAGCGGGACGGGCGCCCAGGCAGCGGGTGCTGCGGGACCGGCGCCCCCTCCCCTCTCCCCGGGTTTTGCCGCGAAAGACCGGTTCGGAGAGGGGGACGCTGCCCCGCTCGGGACTGAAAACCCCCCAGCACTGTGGCCTCGCGCCGAGTCGTTTCACTTCCCCATCTCGCGTCTGACACTCTCAGCTGTCCTCTACCCCATCCCCGCCCGCCCCACGCGGGGGTGCATTGAGTTCCTGCTGTGTGCGTCTGGGACGGGACTGGAGTCTCCTCTCGGAGTCCAGGGGAAGCCCAGAGAAGTCGGGCCGTGGCACAGACCCTCTAGGCGCTGCTACTGGGTGCCTTTCGGCCAGGGAAGCGCTCACGTGTTTCTGGTGCGGCGGGGGGGGGGGGGGGGGGGGGGGAAGGGCAGCCGCGGGGGGGGGCGCCCCCCCGCCCCCGCGGGGGAGGGAGGGGGGTGCGCGGGGGGGGGGGGGGCACGGGGTGGTGGGGGGGGGGGGGGGGGGGGGGGGGGGGGTGCAAACAGATGCCCCGAAGGCTGAGCCACTTGCTCACGGCTGCATAGACACTGGCTGCCTGCTGCCGGGCAGCTGCAACCGGAAGTCAGCACATATTAGGCGCCGCCTCAGCAGCAGGGCTCGGGAGGGATTCACCTGGGCCCCTTGAGAGGAAGAATAAATAAGGGCTCAGCGCAAGTGTAGGGCCTTGCTCAGGTCAGGGCCAAGGCTCTGGGGATGAAGTGGCAACAAATGAGCATGCATTAGTCTCCAATGGTATGCACCTTGGGAAGGCAGGATGGAGAGCAGTGACCAGAAATGTGCATGTGTTGAGTCCTTACTGCATACATTTACCTGGGGGGCGAGGGGTTTCACCTCAACTTAAAGAAAGCAAGAGCTGTTCATAAATTAAGTGCCTACTGCTTCCAAGTCTTTGTCACATCCGTTTTGCAGAAAAACTGAGATCAAGGAAGATTGAGGGATGCGATAAAATCTTAGAGTCAGGATTCCACCTGGCCTTGTCTGGAAAGAGTGCAAGATAGACTACCTACTGTTTGTAGCTGCCAGAGAACCAAGCAGGGCTAAACTCCCTTCACACCCCTTCCTCCTGCATAGGCTGGGGGCCTGTGCCTGCCGGTGCCCCTCAGGAAGTCACAAGCACCTCCTGTCAATGTAAGCCTCTACTACGAGGCACTGTGCCCCGGCTGCCGGGCCTTCCTGGTCCGAGAACTTTTCCCAACCTGGCTGATGGTGCTGGAGATCCTCAATGTCACACTGGTGCCCTATGGAAATGCCCAGGTATGTTGGCACTGGGGAAACTGAGGCACTAGGCCAGGGAGGGGGGCACCTGATGGGCTGGCCAGCACTCACCTAGCTGCCTTACAGGAACAGAATGTCAGCGGCCGGTGGGAGTTCACCTGCCAGCACGGGGAGCAGGAATGCAAGCTCAACAAGGTGGAGGTGAGTGGCCCCCCAGGAACCTGAGCGGTGGGGGGCACGGAGGCTGAGGGGCCTGCCCATTGTTGAGAAAGGCTAAAGCCAGGCTCAGAAGGGACTGGAAACAGCCCCAACCTCTGTGTCTTCAATCACCTCTTCATTCGCCGCTTCATTAGGGAACACCCGTGATCACTCCCAGAGCGGTCTAGGGCTGCCTGGGCCCACTTTCTGCCCTTGCCTATTCACCCGCTATCCCACAGGCCTGCCTGTGGGACCAGCTAGAGAAGAACACAGCCTTCCTGACCATTGTCTGCATGGAGGAAATGGATGACATGGAGAAGAATCTGAAACCGGTGAGCAGCACCCCTCACTTGGCCCTGGGTTAGGAGACCCTGATCTTCCCTGTCCCCAGACAGACCCAGATTCAGCTTCTGGCCTGACCACCACTCTCTTTGTAGCCCCAGGAAAATGGCCTTCCCTCTGGAAGCCTCTGATCTCTGAAGCAAGGGAACAAAGATCTTTGGGAAGCATGAGTAGATCAAGGAGGGCTTCCTGGAGGAGGTGCCTCTGAGCCAGGCTTGGATGAACAGAAACATGCAGGGACGTAGATGATGATCCTCACCTGGGGTATGGGGATGGCAGGACAGGCCCGCCTGCTTCTCTGAAGGGTTATGAAAAACAACTCCCAGTGGAGTGACTCATTGACACCAATAGCTTATTCATTCGTCAAACATCTGGACCACCCAAAAGGCTCACCCTGGGACACCCCCAGCAACCCTGCAGAGTCATAGCGGGGCCAGAGGTGGGCAGAGGAGGAAGGAGCACTGGAAAGATTCTGGGGGAAGGAAGTGGAAGGGCGTTCCTGGTGGAGGGAATAGCACAGACGGAAGCTCTGAGGAAAATGAGACCCCTTTAAGGGGTCCAGGGCTGCGGTCTTCTGAGTCTGGTCTTCTGAAAAGCAAGAGCAGCCTGAGCCCCTGCCTTGGGGGCGTCCACTCAAGTAAGTGTTAAGCATGTGCTGTGTGTGCTGTGGACCCAACTGTCTCCTATTGCCCAGGAGGTACAAGCTTGGCCCCAGCAACGGGGGAGGGTGGGGGGGGGGCTGGAGGGGGGAATACTAGGGAGACAATGCCTAGGAAGCTGAGGCAATGCTCCCGCTCACCAGGCACCCTTGTCTGCCCTCAGTGCCTGCAGATCTATGCCCCGGAGGTGTCCCCGGACACCATCATGGAGTGCGCAATGGGGGACCGGGGCATGCAGCTTTTGCATGTCAATGCCCAGCTTACCGATGCCCTGCAGCCACCCCACGAGTATGTGCCCTGGGTCGTCGTCAATGGGGTAAGAGTTCTTACAGCCCTCGCTCTGGCCACCGGGCCAGCACCAGCATGACGGGTGTGCCCTCTGGCAGGAGGCCAGCCATGGGGCCATTTGCCACCCTTCTGGGCCGGGCATGGGTTGGCCGAGGGTGGGAGGCAAAGGAGACTGTGTGACTTCCTGTCTTGCTTTCTGCAGAAACCCCTGAAAAATCCAAGTCAGCTCCTAAGCCTCGTGTGCCACCTGTACCAGGCAAGCTGGAAGGGGAACGGAGGGATCCACTGGGGGCAGGGGTGGGCAGCGGCTGTTTTCAGGACCCCCAGCTCACGGCCCTCTCCTCCAGGGCGAGAAGCCAGACATCTGCCAACCTGTGGCCAGCTCCCAGAGGGAAGTCTGCTTCAAGTGACAGCTGGTGCCCTGGGAGGGACCTGCTGGAGGAAGAGCAGGAGCGCACCTGTCCCTGCCTGTCCGGTCCCTGACTCTCAGCAGCCCCTGCCTACCATCCAGATAACTTCTACACATTCCATGAAAGCCCAGACTCAGACTCCTGCCCCAGGATCAAACATCTTGCCCCACTGAGAATGGTGCTACGTTGAAACAAGTTTAGTAAATACTTCTGGATTTTGTGATTCATTTGATAAGTTAACAAATTCCCCCTGGACCACGACACGCTGCTGGGACCCTCCTGAGAAGGCCCCTTTCTTGGGGAGATAGAGCCCGACAGACACTCCTCATCCCACGAGGAGCACATATGGGCCAGAGGGAGGCACCAGGCCTGGAGGAGCCCAGAGAGGGAGTGAAGGCTCTGCTTAGGGAATAGGAGCACAGGGGTTGGGGTTTTGAAGGGTGACTAGGAGCTCATGAGGCAGAAGACATACTCCGTGATTCAACAAACAACCCTAACTACTCCCTTTTGCAGACCCCACACTGGGTGATAGGAGTTGAGCCAGAAGATAGAGCTGGGGATCTTGACTGGGAGTTTCAAAGAATGTGTTCACTGGTGGTGGGGGATGCGTCACAGTGTTCCAGGAAAGAGGAACAGAGTGCGCAAAAGACAAGCCAGCAGCAAAATCTGAAGCTAGAATGTGGGGCTGAGACATCTGAGAACAAGGGCATGTTATGGGATACTATTAAAAAAAAAAAAATCATGATTCTTAAACTGATCTAGAATGATTACATGCCAAAGATTTTATTTAACCCATGACTTATGAGGAAAACTGGTCCAATGTTTCAAAGAACAGATAGATTTATAAATGAGAAATCTTGAAATGATGGTGCAAAGAGAAACAAAATTGATCCACTTTTTCACAAAGCAGTGGGGGCAAGGGTGGGGGTAGCACTTTCTTCACGCCCAGCTTTTTTTTTTTTTTTTTTTCAAATTTTAATAATAGGTTTTATTGGGGTAGCACAGCCGGTTAAGTGCCAACTTGATTTTGGCTCAGGTTGTGACCTGCAAGTCATGAGATCGAGTCCCGCTTCGGGCTCCCGGGTCAGCAGGGAATCTGCTTGAAGTTCTCTCTCCCTCTCCCTTTGCCCCTCCCCCCAAAAAGAAATAGATTTTCTTTAACCTGATACAAATCTGATACATTATCATTTCAACCTGTAGGCAATATGAAAAAACTTAATGAGAGCCTCCTCATTCTTTTTTTCTTCCTAAGTCTTTTTCTCATACTAAGTCTTAACTGCTGTGTATTTTATAGCATCTCTCAACTCAGATTAACTACACTGCAAGTGCGCATGAGCCCAGCGGGTGACTGATTACTGTACAGAGCAGGAAACATCACTGCCCCCATCCTGGGCTCTGCAGTGAGACTCCTGTAATAAAGATTAATAAGAGGGGCTCCCGGGTGGCTCAGTGGGTTAAAGCCTCTGCTTTCGGCTCAGGTCATGATCCCAGAGTCCTGGGATCGAGCCCCGCATCGGCCTCTCTGCTCAGCGGGGAGCCTGCTTCCTCCTCTCTCTCTGCCTGCTTCTCTGCCTACTTGTGATCTGTCTGTCAAATAAACAAATAAAATCTTTAAAAAAAAAGATTAACAAGAGAAAGACAAATTTAATAATATACGTACATCATGAATACATGGGAAATACCCACTAAAACTGGGTAAACTCCCCAAAGTGGCCAAAGCCACCACTTTAATTTTTTTTTTCAGATTTTTTATTTTGGGGGCACTTGGATGGCTCAGTCATTAAGCATCTGCCTTTGGCTCAGGTCATGATCCCAGCGTCATGGGATCGAGCCCCGCACTGGGCTTCCTGCTCATGGCGGAGCCTGCTTCTCCCTCTCCAGCTCCTTCCTGCTGTGTTCCCTCTCTAGCTGTTTCTCTCTGTCAAATAAATAAAATCTTTTTAAAAAAATTCTTTTTAATTTTTTTATTTTAGATTTTATTTGAGCGAGAGAGAAACAGAGCATGCACACGCATGAGCAGGGGGAAGGGGCAGAGGGAGACACAGGCTCCCCACTGAGCAAGGAGCCCAACATGGGACTGGATCCCAGGACCCTGGAATCATGACCTGAGCCAAAAGCAGACCACTTTTAGCTGACTGAGCCACCCACAAGCCCCTTTGTTTTTATTTCTCAGTAATCTCCACACCCAATGTGGGGCTCGATTCACAGCCTGGAGATCAAGAGTAGTTCCACCAACGGAGAGAGCCAGGTGTCCCCTGAGTTGCTATTTTAAATACCACCCTCCGGGGGTGCCTGGTGGCTCAGTAGGTTAAACCTCTGCCTTCGGCTCAGGTCATGATCTCAGGGTCCTGGGATCAAGCCCTGCATCAGAGAGCCTGCTTCTCCCTCTCCCTCTTCTGGCTGTTCTCCCTGTTCATGCGCAAGCGCTCTCTCTCAAATAAATAAATAAAATCTTTAAAAAAAAAAAAAAAAAAAAGGAGACACTCCATCTCTGTAGGACTCTCCCCAAAAACCCAGAACAGCAGCCCAACCATGAGAAAACATCATCCCAACCCAGATTGAGGGACATTCTACAAGATACCTCACCAGCACTCCTCCAAAGTGCCAAGGTCATGAACAGCAAGAGAAAACGGAGAAAGTGTCACTGACCGGAGGAAACTAACTTAGCGGGATCCTGGCTAAAGGAACATTTTAAGGAATAACTGGAATTATGACTAACATGGTATTATTCTTCTTTTCTTTCTTAAGATTTTATTTATTTGACACAGCGAGAGAGGGAACACAAGCAGCGGGGAGTGGGAGAGTGAGAAGCAGGCTCCTAGCTGAGCAGGGAACCTGATGCAGGGCTCGATCCCAGGACTCTAGGATCATGACCTGAGCTGAAGACGGACGCTTAATGACTGAGCCACCCAGGTGCCCCAAACACGGAACTATTCTTACCTCAAATCAGCCAAGGCTCTTCTAGGAATCTAACAGATAGAAATGTATCACAGACAGTGAGGGCATTAACCAAACTCCCTTTAGATGAACTGATTAGGATACTTATGCCTGCAAAATCCTTCCTGGAATATCACCTATTATCACATTCACATTCTATCATACAGACAAGATCTACCCGCGCTGGAGGCGGGGACACAGGTGCACACCTGCGGTAGAAACCTTGGGGCCATCCTAGACTCCTGCCTCTCACACCTCCTGATGTAGAAAAAGATGACCGACTCACACAGTGAGAAGAACTTTCTGAATTACAGACCAGTATATGGGCAGAGAGAGTTTATGGCTTCAATTCTAAAAATTTTCAGCCATTGGGGCACCCGGCTGGCTCAGTTGGTAGAGCATGCGACTCTTGATGTCAGGGTTGTGAGTCAAGTCCCATGTTGGGTGTGGAACCTACTTACATAAATAAGTAATTAATTAAACAAAATAAAATAATATTTCAACCATGGGAGAAGGCAATACATGGTGAAGGCAAGGTAAAATTTAGAATTTTATTTGGGGAACTTGGTTAAAAATGTCAATGGTTTGAACATTTGATTAAATAGGAGGGCAGGGGGCGCCTGGGTGGCTCAGTGGGTTAAGCCTCTGCCTTCGGCTCAGGTCATGATCCCAGGGTCCTGGGATCGAGCCCCGCATCAGGCTCCCTGCTCAGCGGGGAGCCTGTTTCCGCCCCCCCCCCGCCCCCCGCCCACCGCCTGCCTGTCTGCCTACTTGTGATCTCTGTCTGTCAATAAATAGACAGATAGATAGATAGATAGGAGGGCAGGAGCCTGGCTGACCCAGTCAGTGAAACCTGTGACTCTCAGTCTCAGGGTTGTGAGGTCGAGCCCCAATTACAAAACAATACTGGATTACTTATTGTTTTTATTTTATTTATTTATTTAAGAGAGAGAGAGCTTGAGCAGGGGGAGGGGCAGAGGGAGAGAGGAGCAGATTCCCCGCTGAGCAGGGAGCAGGAGGTGGGGCTCGATCCCAGGACCCTGGGATCATTACAATAACCTGAGCAGAAGTCAGATTCTTAATCGACTGAGCCACCCAGGTGCCCCTAATCTGTTACTTATTTAACCAAAGTGACAACAAAAGGTTTTAAAGACAAAAACAGTAAGTTCTACAGTTGGGGGTGAGGGGAAGTCTTAGTTCTTTTAATATTGAGGAGACTCAGTTTTCCTAAGTAATCAAAGACCTCCAAGCAACAGCATTTTGGTAAAATATAGAGAATCTTTGTTTTCCGTGTGAATCACTCAACAGGTAAAGAAAAGCCTTTGACCATAATCCAAGATAAGGTCATTCTTTTAACAGAGAAAGCAGATCAAATTCTAGTCTGCACAGTTACACTGATATTGAAGCTCATTGTTAAAACCCTTATAATAAATCCATGTGATTTGCACAACCTTGCCCGCACAAGATACAATTTTCTCTCTCTCTTTCTCCCTCTCCAACTTTCACCGGCTTAGATTTTGGTCCTTTGTTTTCCTCATTCTTATTTTGAACCAGTCTTTAAATACCCTTAAGTTAAGACAAAATTACTCTCCTTCCAGCCTTCATATTTCCTTCATTTCCTACCAAAACACACCCTATTTTCCTTGCATATTTTATGGGTTTTTTTCCTATACCCTGATTAGTAATAATAGTTTCATTTTCTTTTTTTTTTTTTTTATTTATTTATTTGACAGACAGAGATCACAAGTAGGCAGAGAGGCAGGCAGAGAGAGAGGGGGGAAGCAGGGAGCCTGCTTCCCCCC